CAGATCAAAGTCTTTCTTCATTCCTTGCCACTGTTGCACTGGGTCGAAAACCATTACCGTTGCCAGCAACCAGGCATCAGGGGGAAAGAGGCCGGCACTTGGCTGAGGCTGGCCATTCCTCTCCTGGGGTGACCCAGCAGGGCTTCTAGACTGGACGCAGGAGACTGGCTGGGCCAGCAGCACCCCCATGAAGGGGACCCATGAAGGGGACACTGTTTTGCTTGCTGGCACCCCTCACGACCTGCGGGAATCTGGAAGATGCTGCCAGAGAGCATGGAGGGTGTCATCAGGAAGCCCCATCTTTACAGAGAAGGGACATGGAAACAAAACCACAGAACAGAATCTGGGTGTTGTCACTGCACTGACAGTACTTAACAACATCACCAGGGACATTTCTGCCCTACACGCCCTTTGGACTCAGTTCTCCAGTGCCACCCCCAAGTCTCCAAAAGGGAGAAATTATCAGAAAAGTCCTAGTGTGGGAAATAAGAATATGAAACTCCCCCTCCCCTGCATTACAATTGTCTTTTCCTACTAAACTTTTTGGGGGTAGTGCCCAGGAGTCCCAGGGGTCCTGCCACTGATTCTTGGCCAACCAAGACAATGGTTTAATGCAAGGGTTCGAGGATATGACACTGCTCAGGTCCTGCAATACTCAGGGACCCCGGCAGTGCTTGGAGACCTGCAGGACTTCATCCAGAATCGCTCCGGGATTCAAAGCCAAGCCAGACATATGTCAGACAGTGCCCTCACTACTGGACTCTCCCCAACCCCCTACTGAACTTTTAAAGCACGAAAATCATAGTTCAGACTTCCTATGGCAACAGTCACGGTCACGGTCCTCCCATTGTTCATCGATTTGCTCGAGCGGGTCCAGTAATGTCTCCATCATGAGACTTGTTGTTACTGTGTTTGGCATTTGAATACGTCACGAGTAGCTTGCCAGGCTCTACCATGCGGGCGAGATACTCTCCGTAGGTTGCCGGGCCCTTGGAGAGTGACGGAGGAATTGAACCTGGGTCGGCCATGTTGGCCGCTTGTAAGGCAAACGCCCTACCGCTGTGCTATTGCTCCAGCCCTCCTATGGCAACATCCTGAATTAAAATTTGGTGCCATTGTTTCAATTCCACAACTCATGGACAATGTCCAGGCAATAAGCAAAGAATTGACTACAAGTAGGCCAGTGGGAGATGGACAGAGAGGGTACATGAGAGCTAACGATCCTCACTCAGCCAGAGAATGGGGCAAGGGGTCTTTGCACCTGGGGTGCTGAACTCAGCCATGGTCATCAACAGACTGCCCAAGAGCAATGTGACTCGCATTAATGAGGACTGACTCTTGTAAATTGCTTCTAGAAGTTTCCATTTAACAGGAGCTATGTGTTTCCTCTGAGTTCCATTGTGGTTGCTCTGTGAGGAATGAGTGTTAATCTGCTTGCGTGGTGGAGGAAGGGGACTGGCAGAGAAAAAAGCCACTGGTGAAAACCACGGGAGCTCAACCTTGTGTCCATGTAGGTTCTAATCTGGGAGACAGTGGTGGGGCTAGAACTTTTGGCAACTTCCCACTTGATCTTGCTGTGAATCTAAAACTGCTCCCTCCAGAAAAGCTCCTCTTGTTTTTCTTTCTAAATCCATGGATAGGAGGTGGGGAGGACTCCTGTGGGGGAAGAAAAGAGTTTCTAGTTTCATTTTCCAGATGCTTTAAAATATACAAAGTGGTTTATTCTCTCCTGGGGGCCTGTGAAACTAGAAAGACAGGTGCCATTATTTCCATTTCCAAGAGAGAAAAAAAAATGGAAGCTCGGAGATTAAAGTGACTTATCTTAGAATAAAGAATCAACAGGCAGCTGTGTCTAAGAACCAGTCCTCTGGACCAGGGACAGAGTTCATGCCCGTTGCCATGTGGGGACCCTGGGTTCTCTCGAAGCACCAAACAGTCCCCCACCCCTAAAGCACCCAAGGCTAGAACAGCACCACCTTCCCAGCTGGCATTAAAATATCTGGCTGTTTGGCCCCTTATAGGAGGTCCCCTGAGCATTGCTTTATTGTAGGAGAAAACCCTACAATCATACAGTCTTCTGGTTCCAGTCTTAGAGAAGCAAACACATCTCTTGTTTTTTGTTTGTTTGTTTGTTTGTTTTTTCTTTTTGGGTCATACCCAGTGATGCTCAGGGGTTACTCCTGGCTCTGCACTCAGGAATTACTCCTGGCGGTGCTTAAGGGACCATATGGGATGCTGGGAATCTAACCTGGGTTGACCTCATGCAAGGCAAATGCCCTACCCGCTCTACTATCGCTCCTGCCCTGGGGAGACCAGAGACAAAAATAATACCCCCCAGTCATGGATGAACCTGGTACATAAAACTCATGCTCATTAGCCCAAAAGTCTGATATATGATTTCTACTCAAATAATAGCCAATACTTGCTGAGAGCTTGTTTGGGGCAATGCTGTATTCTAAGTGCTTAATCCTTTTCTGAAATTTCCGTGCATAAGAAGCAAACTTGCTTTGCAATATTAAAACACCCTTAGAAGCAATTAGAAATGGCCGGAGGCACCAAAATCTGGTTCTAACCCCTGCTGCTCCTCTAACATTGCTGGCATCCCACAAACAAACCAGCTGAAGAACCAGCAGTTATCCTGGGAATCAGAGCCAGATGGTCTGGGCCAACACAGGCATGCATAGACCCCCTTTATTTCACTTGTTTCTTTTTCTATTGGGGGCATGGAGGGTGGGCCACACCCAGCCGGGCTCTGGGCTGGCTCTGCCCTAAGAGGTCTCTTCTGGCAGTACTCAGGGTACTATCTGAGATGCCAGGGATTGAACTGGAACTAGCAACATCCAGCTTCAAGCATCCCCTTGAAAAACATCTTAGCATACAACAGTTCGTGTGGATTACAGCCTTTTGTCTTTTTTTTTTCCTTCCTTCCTACTTTTTGCTTTCCTTTGTTTTCTCTCTCCTTCCTTCCTTCCTTCCTTCCTTCCTTCCTTCCTTCCTTCCTTCCTCCCTTCCTTCCTTCTTTCCATTCTTCCATTCTTCCTCCTTTAGGGATCAGTAGGAATAAGATAGAGCTTATTTTGAAATCTAAACTCTTATACTATAAAAAGTAGGATTTTTAAAGATATTGATACCATCCTATGATTCTCTAATGTTAAACAGCTCCTATGGTGCCAGTAATTTCAAAGAACAAGATGCAGGTAGATAGGATCTCCTGACAGGGGCCAGGAGACGGCTCAGAGGGCTGAATGCAGGCTTCACATTTGAGAACCTTGAGGTCAATCCCAGCACCACATAGCTCTATGGGAACCATCAGGAAACAACCCCAAGGTACCAAGCTGGGAGTGGTCCCCAACCAAATAAATAAGTTAATAAACAAAATCACTGTCACTTGGCATCACTTGAGGGCACCCATCAGAGATATGATTAAAAAAAAACTCAATAGGGGTTTGGTGATCTCAGTCTGGTTCTGGATATCCACAATGGCTCGTTGCAGTTATGGTAAAACGGGGGCGGGGGGGGGGGGGGCGAGTGATAGGACAGCAGGTAAGGCGTTTGCCTCACATACAACCCACCCAGGTTCAATCAATCCCTGGCACTCCATATGGTCCCTCAAGCACACCCAGGAGTGATTCCAGAGCCAGGACTCAGTCTTGAGCATTGCTGGGTTTCTTGCAATTGCATTGCCACAAAAAGAAACAAAACAAAACAAAACAAAAGGAAGTAAAACACTCCTTTGAAATGTTCACTGCAATGTGCTCCCTCCCCTAGAACCTGACTGACACAGGACAGGATCATGCCTGAGCCAGTGAGATGGATCTTCACAAGCTGAAGAGGCGAAAACAGCTGACACTGGCCATCGGGTATGGATTTCAGCATCAGAGGTTTGTTTCAGGAGGACGGTGTGGTGTGACATGGGGAGATTCTTGGGTAAGTATAGAAGGAGGGGTAAAAGGTTCTGGAAGACAAACATCTGACTGGTCCAATCACCATTGAATCACCTTCCTTTCCCTGCAACTCTCAGCCTCAGGGACTGCCTGGTGGCAAGTGTCCACATTCTGGAAGCTCCTCAGATGATTGGCAGAGACCTCGCACTACTGTGGTGAGGGTGTGGGTGGCATGGCCCTGTCTCACAATCTCGTCCTTGTTTTGTGGAAGTGAGCTCAGTCATGGGCTCGAGTCCTCTGCACCCTGGTTGTGTGGGTCTCCCCTACTCCCCCCGCCCCCACCAGCAGTGCCCCCAACCCACCCCCAAGTCACACTGGTGCTCTAGGAAACAAGTTTTGGACTTGGTGCATCAAACTTCCTAACTTCCTGGGTGCAAGATTCCATGTCTGAGCAAACAATCATTCATCAACAGTGACCCAGAGACATCATTTCTCCCCTCACCAGAGAACCTGAGTGGGAGTGACCCTGGCGAGCTAACACACTGACATGCTAGCGAGCAGAGCCTCCTAGTGGTGGGATGGAGTGGTTTGAAAATTGTTTCACTGTTCTAATAATGAATCCAAGTGGGGTTTGTTTTGTTGTGTGTGTGTGTGGGGGGGAGGGGGGAGTGTTTGTGTGCATGCCTGAGCATGTGTGCAGGCATATGTGCATATGTGTTCCGTTTACTTTTGTTTACTGGCCCCCTCGGAGACTGTCACCTCCATCTGGTTTCCTTAGCTATCATCGGTTCATCCAAGGTAACAAACAGACCTATGGTTTGTATAACCAGAAAGTTCTTTGACGAAAACAGAAGCCCACTCAACAGCCTCTTTCAAAGGGCAGGAAAATGTCAATAGTAATTTCTTTCTAAAGATTTAGAGATTTGCTTTGAAATACTTGTCCTCAAGTTCCTTTCCTCTCCCTTCCTCTTCCCCATATGGAGGTCCCATTCAATTCACAGGCAAAGAGCAGGTGAAGCAAGCCCCGCCCCCCAGGCCCCCCAATACACACACACACACACACACACACACACACACACACACACACACACATACACACACAGCTATGGGGAGTACCTTGGGCTGAGGTTGGGCTCCTTTTCTTCTTTTAAAGGAGGCAAACACCCACAGTCCTCTACAACAGAACAGACACAAACTCCTTGTTAGCCACTGAAATCCCGTCTCCATACACAACCCTTGAGCAGTTGAACATTGCCTTCCCCCCGCCTGTGTGGCTGCCTGAGCAGGTAGGAAACCAAGGGGAAGTGCTGAGGCTGAAAGAGTCGGCGTGGTCAGGCTCTGGCGAAGGAAGAAGGGCCAACGCCGCAGGGACAAAACTTCCTTCCATGGGCCACGGCATGGGAATCCTGCTCTTGCTCCCAGTGCTGGAATCTGCACATTTCTGGATGGACTCTGGAATCGAATGGCTTCCCTGGAGTTCCTGAGCTCTCAGCAGCATCATACTGGGACTACTGGGTGTGGGGACATGTTGACTGGGGAACCACTGACTGCCACTATTATTTGGGGAGGGGGCACACGTGGCAGAGCTGGAGAACAAACCCTAGATGGTCCCATGTAAGGCAGGGGCCTTAATTCCTGTGCCCCCTTATTTGTGGAATAGGTAAAGGTAAAGGTAAAGGCCCTCCCGTTGATCGTCGATTTGCTCGAGCGGGCCCAGTAACGTCTCCATTGGAGACTTTGTTGTTACTGTGTCTGGCATATCGAATACTCTCGGTAGCTTGCCGGGCTCTCCGAGAGGGGCGGAGGAATCGAACTCGGGTCGGCCATGTTGGCCGCTTGTAAGGCGAATGCCCTACCCGCTGTGCTATTGCTCCGCCCATTTGTGGAATATAAAATATAATATGAGACTAACACCCAAGGACAAGTAGAGACAAGAGCCAAGAAGATTGCTTCATAGTCAGAAGCATGAGTTGGGGGAGAAGGCAGCTGGGATAGAGAAGGGATCACAAAGTCAATAATAATTGGAGGGATCGCTCAGGATGGGAGATGTGTGCTGAAAGCAGATAAAGGACCAAACATGATAACTTCTCAGTATCTGTATTGCAAACCATAATGCCCAAAAGTAGAGAGAGAATAGGAGGGAAATTGTCTGCCATAGAGGCAGGGGGAGGAGTTGGATATACGTGGAGAGGGATACGAGGGACATTGGTGGTGGAAAATGTGCACTGGTGGAGGGGTGGGTGTTCGATCATTGTGTGGCTGAAACTCAAACAGGAAAGTTTTGGAACTGTAGCTCATGGTCATTCAATAATAATAAAAAAATTCCTCTGCCCTCTCAGAGCCCATCTACCATTATTTGTAAATTGGGAGGGGGAGAGATCCCTTCTCTCACCTACGTGTCCAAAGAGAAAAATGCCTTTTTCAGCTTTCTGGTTTTAGACACGACACTAGCAGCACAATGTGTGTTTCAATGATCTCAGGTACATCAAACTATTAAAAGGCTCATGGGAATTTTCCTTTCTATTTTGCATTTTCCAAATTTTATTGTATATATTTTGTTGCTTTTAAAATGAAAAATAATTCATCCTAGAACCACAGTACAGACAATACAGGGCATTTGCCTTGTAAGTGGTCGACCTGAATTCCATCTCTGACACCCCATCTGGCTCTCTGAACCCCACCAGGAGTGATCCATGGACACCAGTGGGCGTGGCCCCAAACCAAAACTCATCATCACAGCAATAATTAAAATGAATCTACCTTAAGGATGAGCTGAGTGACCTGCCCTTACCCTCGAAGGCTTACTCAGCGCTATCCTTCCCTCAATACTAGCCAATAAAATCTAGAAATTATACCAGTTAGTCAAAGGGTCTAATCTTTTGGAAGACTGATCTTGACAAGCCTTTGGCACCATCCCTTAAACCAGTCTCTGGAACTGAGAACTTTGTTACAGGGTGTGACTGCACCAGCCCTGGAGGGCTTTAAAAGAGAAAGACCAAAACATCAAATAATAGGAAAATATTGTGGATTTCATTCAGTCAATCTGCACATTAAAATAACATTTTGTTTTCTAAAGGAAGAAAACAAGGAAAGTGTTTTAAAATCATTTTAAAATCCAAGGGGCAAGTATGGTGCAATGAATGGATATTTAAGGGAGTTCATGAGGCCACTGGCCAGTCCCCAGGGCGCGGAGCAGGCACTAGCTAGCTCTCAGCGGCATTTAAGAGTATTTGCAAATTCGCTGACGAAGGAAGCGGCGGGGACCCACCGTGCATGGGGCTCATCCACTTGTCCAGCTCCTCCATTTCGATTTCCATGACAGACGGAGTGTCTTCCTCAAAAATAGGGCTAGAGAGAGACAAAGCACAGCAGTGTAAAGAAAGCGAGTTTGGCTGACGTGGGAAGCGCATTGGGGGAGCGAGCGAGTGCCCAGGACTTGGGCTCTTGTCCAGATGAATTTGACTCAGTATTTTACACCAGGCAGGACTGGAGGGTTATCCTGCCCAGTGGCCCCGCCTGGATGAGGAAGGGAACCCCAAGAACCTCCATATGTCAGGAATCAAAGCCTGGTGGGGCTGTCTGAATGGGGGGCTGGGAGACCATGGTGGGGGGGCCAGGTAGGGAGGCAGAAGGGGGCAGTCCCCTCATGGTGTACCCCAGGCCTCCTGCTCCCCGCTCTCTCTAGTCACCACATTATGCATATCAGCCTCCCCTAATTTCACTTCCCCTTTCTGGGGCTCTAGACCCAGGGCTGCAGGTGGAGAGACCACAGCCAGGGCAACAGGCCTCACCCTCCCAGCCTCTGGTCCTGCTGCAGGATTGATGACATGGAGCCCTGAAACTTAGGGGAAGGAAGCCTCAGCCACTGCGTTGTGGGCGTGGGGAGACCACCCTCTGAACCCCCACATAGGCAGCACATGGTGGAGAGGGAACCAGATAGAATCTAAATGACTAAGGTTTGGGGCAGGGACTGGGCGGGGACACATGGCCTCAGAAGACTCTTCCTGGTAAGTCCCCTTCCTCCCCCCTCCCCCTTGCCTTTCCCCCTCCTCTCCCCTATCCCCCCTCCCATTCTCAAACCTCCCCATCCACCCTCACACACCCCACTACTTCTGCAGTTCTCTAGCGTGCAAGCTTTGGGTTTCCAACAGGGATCTCCACCCTTGTACAGGAGAGAGCGTCTCATCGGAGCCCTGTGCATCTTCTCCACACCCAAGCCCTTCTCAGGCGCCCAGGGCCTGAATATGACCTCTGCTGCACTTGGAATTAATTGGTGGCAGCAAGGAAGATTCTGTCCTGAACTGAGGATCTGCTCCTCAGCCAGGAATGTGAATGCACACATGCACACATGCACACACACACTCACACACACGCACACACACACGTGCACACATATACACACATGCGCACATACACACGCACATACACACATACACACACATGCACACACATGCTCACACACATGCGCACATGCACATGCACACACATGCATATGCACACACATGCTCACATGCTCGCACACACATGCTCTCACACACACGCACACACACATGCACATATATACTTGCACATATAAACACATGTGTGCACATACATACAAACACACACACGCACACACACTGGAGCCCACACTCCGAAAAAGGCAAGTGGCATCCGCTCAGCTCCTGTCTTTACCCCTCTTACCCTCGCCCACTCTGAACTGATGGGGGGAGGACTTACACTTTCAAGTTTTCACTTCCCAGTTCATCTAAAAGAGAAGAGATATAAAGGTCAGGTTGCACTGGCTTGTCTGTAACAACATTTTTTTCCACATCAGTTGAGATCTTTATTCTCTTTTATTTGCAGGCCACACCTGCAGTGCTTGTGGGGTGGGGGGAGTATTGCAGGTTAAGGGGAGGATCTAAACCTGCTAAACCTGGGATTCGAATCTGGGGTTCCATATGCAGAGTGTGTGCTGCATACTATGGCTTCCAGCCATTTCCCTGGGCCGGAAATCCTCTTGAGAAGAAAACCAGGGCAAAGCCGGGGCCTCACACTGTGAGTGGAAGCATGTGTCCACAGCTGACACCCAGCTCTGGCCCCGCTGAGTGTTGGAGAGATAGTTTAGCATCTGGGGTGCTTGCCATGCACAAAGCCAACCTGGGTTTGATCCCCAGTACCACGGATGGTCTCTGAGCACAGCCAGGAGTTGACCCCTCAGCACTGAACACAGCTGGGTATGACCCACAATATAGAACTAGAATAACCAACTTGAGGCAGCTTCTTCTGGGGTATTTCCAGTTAGGGATTATTTCAGGCTCCATACTGGGGAGCCCTGGGGTGCTGGGATCCAGGCCTTCTGAGTGCAAAGCCTGTGCTTCCAGCCTGTAAGCCATCTCCCTGGCCTCTTCAGGGAGAGTTTAAAGGAGCGAAGTGAAACTAATCTAAGTGGAACAAATGCAGATTGGTCCCTAGCAGAGTGAAATCAGTTTTCTTTTTGACAGGGCAGCCTCCTGGGAGCTGCTCACTTCCTCCCCACCCCCTTCCGTTCATATCTCGGTGCTTTTGTTATTCACACAGAGAAGGGACTTGCGGGAAGTGGAAGAAAAGGGGGGACCAAACACAGGGGCCTCCAGCCATGTGTACCCTGGCGTAGAACATTGCTGCCTCGTCTCCCAGTGATGCAGGGGGCCGGCTTAGCCTGCAGAAAGATGCAGGGATCCCCCTCCTTGGACACCCTCGGAACTCTTCACCCTGCCTCTTATAAGGCTGGATCACTTGCACCTTTGAGGTCTACCTCTCCCCCGAGGCCTCAGGTCCATCAGGGCACCCCACCACCCACTCGCTTAGCCCAGCACCTGGTCAACACACTGTCCACATTCGCTGAAGAAATGAATGAGTTTTACTACAGTCCAGCCTGGGCTTAGATTTCAGAGGCTCTTTCCCATCTGCTGGCACCTAACTGTGAAAGTGACAAGCCTACCCTCTGCTGTGGTTGCAAGTCAGTAGCCTCTTCTCTGAGATCAGAACCCAAAAGAACGTAAGGCCAAAATCTAGTCCAGAGACCCAGCTCGGGCTCAGTCTTGCTGACAAGGGGCCCAACACTCTCAGAGAAGGATCCCTATGATAAAATATGGGGGGCCTCAGCGCCCCCCAGTACCTTCTCCAAAGGGAAAATCATGGATGGAGGCTGGAGAGACAGTCCAACGGGTAAGGCATTTGCCCTGCATGTGGCCAGAACCAGTTTGAACCCCAGCAGCTCATATAGTCCACTGAGCACAGTCAGGAGTGATCTCTGAGCGCAGAGCCAGAAGCCCTAAGTAATGCCAGGTGTGACCACACCCCCCCCCCCCCCCCAGAACAACAACAACCACAATTGATCTGCTTTTCAATGTTTTTCTTTCTTTTGTCTGTTTCAGGGGCCACATCCCCTGGTGCTCAAGGTTTACTCCTAGCTTTGTGTTCAGGATCACTCCAAGTAGGGCTAAGGGGACCACACGGGGTGCCACAGACAAAACCCTGATCAGTCGCATGCAAGGTAAACTTCCTGCCCGCTGTACTCTCTCCAGGCCCCAAAGCAGGCCACTATGTAGAAGAAATGGTGGGTACCTGTTTGGGGGTGGCGGGCAGGGGCTGCCTATCTTTGTCTGGCCTGCAAAAATGCAGGTTCCCAAGAGGGAACAGAGCCAGCAGCACCTGGAGCCGAGCTGCTGACCACCAGGAGCTGCTATGATTTCCTGTGGGTTGGCAAGGTTGTTGGAGCCAGGAAATCAGGGCGCAGATGTAAGTTTCATGCCATCACCTGGCTGTGGCTTTTACCTTCCTGCCACCTAGCAGAATCCGGGGCTTTCTGCAGAAGCCGGACTCCCCAGAAGATTTGAAGGGGAAATGGGGAGTATGTACACACACACACACACACACACACACACACACACACACACACCGGCCAAAATTTTGCAGGCTAGTTTAAGCTATTTTATTCCAAGGGTCCGACTCTTTAACTCCTTCCCTACAGGTGACCCATAAAGATTTCTCCTCTCTTCTCCACCCCTTCCCAGGCTTAATGGTCTCCTGCTAATTCCCAGCAAGGAGAGTCCCTCATGCACCCCACAGGCAAGGGCATGGATGTATCTCGATACTCTGGATGCCTGCCGTGAGTCCAAGCCACCTTGCAAGCAGATGATGGATAAGTTAGGAAAAAACAACAACCCTCCCTCCCCAGACCAAACCATTACAGAAATGGTCCGGGATGCACAAATGCGATGTCCCTGTAATCAGTATTCAAACAGAGCCAAAAGCCTTCTGTGGCTGCGTCTCCCATCTCCTGGCCATTACCCGGGCCCCAGCGGCCATGGCAACAGAAAAACATCTGGGCGCTGGGCAGAGCAGCGCATTAGAGCGGGAGGGAGCCAATTACTGGCGCTGGGCAATCAGGCCGCAGCTCCTCTCCACCTGGCCTCCATCTCTTCATTAATAGCACCTACTCCCCTCGCAAGTGGGAGCAAATGCAGCTCTCTCCCTCCTGCAGCCCTTTCCATTTCATCTCCTCCCACCACTTTGGCCCCTTCCCTCAGCACCCACATTCCACCCACTTAGCCTGACCCTGCACGGCCCCCTGGCTCTTGGCGGGCACTTGCTAGCGCGGTACGGGGAGGGGCAGGGCTGGGGGCCAGCAGCCCCCCCCCCCGCCGCCTTACCCGCCCCCCCACCCCCCGTGTGTGCCTGCATCCCGCCTCGCGCTGTGCGCTACAGTCTCTCTGGAAATGACAAGGCAGAGCAGGTGTCCCGGAGCCGCCTATTTAAAGGGATGCGTTACACCAGCTGTGCGCCCGCAGCGCCCTCAAACACAAGACAAGTACAACGACAACAGCTGCAAACGGAGAGCCTGCGGGTCTGGTTACAAAGGAAGGAAGGCCAAAATGTGGACACCCGGCGCCTCTCTTTCCTGGACAGAGGAAGAGGCACAAGTCGGAGTGAAAAACGTGCTTTCTTGAAAATGCTGGCTGTTGGGGCTGGAGCAACAGCCCAGCCGGTTAAGCGCTTGCTTGCCTTACAAGAGCCCCACATGGTGGCCTGTGCACCGCCAGGAGTGATTCCTGACTGCAGAGTCAGGAATAAGACCTGAGCATTACCGGATATAGTCCAACCCTCCTCCCCTCACCACCAAATTTTTAAATAAATAAATTTTAAAATGTTGGCTGTTGACTAAGTCTCTGCACTACAGGTGGTTCCAAAAACTGCCAGTGCTTGAGTTACAAAGCCAAAAGTAAGAGTCCTGAGCATTGCCGGATGTGATCCCCTTCCCGATTTTTTTTTTCAAAAATAAAAATAAAATGTTGGCACTTTGTGGTGATGGGGTACAGTAACTTTGAATATAAATACCCCATACTTTGACATTAAAACATCTAACCCAAATTATAATAAAAGGTTTGTTTCTTTTTTTTTTATGTTGGTCTCCCCTGACCCCAGTCTAAATTGAGGACTTATTTCCTGATGTTAAAGAATATCAGGCTCTGTGCTCATGGTCAAGAAATGAGACACAGATTTTTATTTCTAATTTACTGAAGTTGAGGTGGTGGGGGCACCATTCAAACCTGCACACAAGACTCCTATGGGAAGTTCCAAAGCTAAAGGCTGGTTTGATCCAGGGAAAAGGGGTTTTTTCCCTTCTGGGAAAATTTACTGAAATCATATTTTGTCCTATGAAATATTCTCCCTTCATTGACTTGCCTAACAATGTTAAGTATGAATGGGTAGAATGTGGTGGACGGTGGTTATTAACCTTTGGCATGCAGTTTGCCTAAAGAGCACAGCAATAGCTGAGCTATTGCCTCATTTCTCTGTATTAAAGGAGGAGTTAGTAATAGAAAATGTTCAGATAAAGCTGCCTTTTTTTAAATCAAACACGTGTGAGCAGGTGCAGGGACGAGGCTTGTAGGCCCCAGGCCCAGAGTTGGATCCCAAGCACGAGCCCATATGCTGATGTGATCTCCAACATTTCTGGTGTTATCTTCCAAACCTACAAGAATTGGGGGGAAGGAGGGGGCAGCAAGGAGATAGTATAGTGGGTAGGGTGCTTGTCTTGCATGCAGCCAACCCAGGTTTTATCCCTGGCACCTATTATAGTCCTCCGAGCACTTCCAGAAATGATTCCTGAGCACAGAGCCAGGAGTAAGCCCCGAACACCATTGTGTGCCCCTTAAAAAAAAAGTGTGCAGACACTGCGACCAAGTACGTGACTCCCAGACATTGCCACTATGACAAAGGGAGGAAAAAGAGAGAGGGGGGAAAAAAACCCTGTATGATAAGCAGATATTTTGAAACTTTTCTATGTTGTACTTCCTAAAAGTGAGCCATACTTAAATAAAAACGTGCCAATTTGTAATAAGGTTTGTTTTTACCTTTGAGGAAGGTGCCTCATTTCTTGTCCATGAGCAGAGTCTGACATTCTTTACATCAGGAAATATATTCTTAAATTAGACTGGGGTCAGGAGAGGACTTGATCAACATTAGAAAATAATTATAATTTGGATTACATGGCTTCATTAATGCCAAGGTATATATATATATGCACCTTGCAGAAGAGCACAGGGAACATGGTTACTAATTTGGCCTGGGGAGTGATTGCCTAAGATTCCATAAAAACTGTAGAATTGGGGCCTGAGTGATAGTATAGTAGGGAAGGCACTTGCCTTGCATGTGGCCGACCCAGGTTCAGTCAGTACCACATGTGCTCCTTTGAGCACCACCAGGAGTGATCTCTGAGCACGGAGCCAGGAGTAAGCCCTGAGCATTGCTGAGTGTGCCCCAGAAACCCTAAATACAATTTTTATATTAAAAAACATGTAGAGCTGGGGGCTGGAGCAATAGCACAGTGGGTAGGGTGTTTGCCTTGCACGTGGCCAACTGGAGTTTGATTCCCAGCATCCCATATGGTCTCCTGAGCACCGCCAGGGGTGATTCCTCAGTGCAGAACCAGGAGTAACCCCTGTGTATCGCTGGGTGTCACACACACACACACACACACACACACACACACACACACACACACACAACTCTACAGAGCTGGCCATAGAAGAATGGAGTGTTGGATTGCCAAGCAGACCAGAAGGACATTCCAGAAAGAAGAAATATAAGCATCAGCCAGGCATGGAGGAGGCATCAGGAACATGCAGCCAGGTCCTTCCCAGGCGGCTGTGTGGAGCCTGCCCATGCTACATCCCAGGAGAGAGCTGGCTCTACTCGCAAACCACATTTGAACTTTGAGATTCTCATAACGAGGTTCGATTAAAAACCATGTTGTGGATTTAGACGGTAAAAGCAAGTCCATTTTGACAGCCCCAGTCTCCGTCCATCAGACCTGCCGGGGGTGGGCTATGGCTTAGACAGGAAATTCTTACTTTCTCTGAGGTTAAAAAAATGGGAGGTCCAGGCAGTAGGTCTGTTTGCTTTCCTTTCCTTTCGCTGACCAAAAAGGCCTCCACATGACATGTTTATAGGTCACCCTAAAATTACAAACAGTAGAGACACGTGCATCTCCTCCTCGCTTCAACCCTGTTCTATCAGCTGCTGTCATAAAAGGTGATGCACATCAGTGTGCCTTGCCCAGCTTCCATTTGCTCTTCCTGCTGGCAAAAGAGAAAATGACCATTTGTGGCTCCAGCCAGTTGCTTAAAATCTCTCCCGAGACAATGACAGTCAGCACTGAGAGATGTCTGGCAGCCAAGGGCATGATTTCAAGGCCATCAGTGCCCTGTTTGTGGGTATGAAGGACATAGAACGAATCTTGTGTGTGTGTATGAATCAGTATCTCATCAGCCACGTCCTCGTCCCTCAGGTGATGTATGAGAGGACTTTAATGTAGTGGTTCTCAACTGCAGGTCTGTGGGCAGCTGCTGGCCCACAGGTGCAGAAAGGTCGAGAACCAATAGTTTACTGCAGTGGCTGTAACTGCCGGCCCATGGACCAGTGTGCGTGTGTGTGCACAGGTGCCAGTTGTTGGTGTAAAAGGCTGAAGAACCCTGCTTTAAAGGCTCACTTCAAACCTATGACATCATTTATTCTCAACTCAAGGCCAAAACGCCAAGAGAGCTCTGGACTGAGAACCACCCTGAAACTTAGTATTAGAATCATCCCCAGATCCTTGCTGTGTGTCACTCTGATCCAGGGAATTAGCTCTCAGCTTGGTGTCAGCCTGATGACAGCAATCGCTGGCCCTGTAAGACATTGGTGTGGAACCTGGCAGCATTATAAGAGGAGCCGGTTCAGTGCCCGCCACCTTTCTAAGCTCCCACGGGGAGGTGGCGTGAGGGAGAAAGCACAGCTGTGAGCAAGGGAAGGTGGAACATTTCTCTTCTGGTGGGTGGGACACGGATGTCCCCAGCCCTCCCACTCCAAGCCCTATTCGGATCCCGGGCTCTGCCAGTGTGGATCATGATCAAGTAGCAGCTTTGTCCCCACACTGGGTTAGACTGTGGACCTTGGGAATGACACCAGGGAAAACAGAGCCTTACCCACTGGACTCTCACACTGACCCTGTCTTTTTCTTTCTTTCTTCCTTTGTTGAGGCGACCCACACCTGTTGTTACTCAGGGAGGCAGACTCTGAATAGTGCTCTGGAGACATACTGTGCCCGGGACTGAGACCAGGGCTCCCGCAAGCAGAGTATGCGTGCCAGTCCTTTGAGCCAACTCACTCACTCCCTTGTCCCTTTTTTTTATTGTTATGTTTTTATTTGGGGGCGGGCACATCTGCTGTGCTAAGATTTACTCCTGGCTCTGTGTTCAGGCATCACTCCTGGTGGGGCTCAGGGGACTACGTGTGGTGCCAAGGGTAGAACCTGGGTTGGTGGTATGCAAGGTGAGCCCCTTAAAACCCTGTCCCATCCCTCCAGCCCCTGAAAGCAGTCTCTTTACAAACAAAGGAAAAAAAGAAAAGGAAAAAGAAGGGGCTGGAGTGATAGCACAGCGGGTAGGGTGTTTGTCTTGCACGTGGCCAACCCAGCTTCAATTCCTAGCATCCCATATGGTTCCCTGGGCACTGCCAGGAGTAATTCCTGAGTGCAGAGCCAGGAGTAACCCCTGTGCATCGCCGGGTATGACACAAAAAGAAAAAAAAAGGAAAAGAAAAAAGAACAAGGTGTGGTTCATCTCTGGAAGACTGTGTTCATCCTTCACTACTTCTGTGGTTTCACCTTGAGGCCTCTCCATCGGGACCCATTCCCATGCAGGCAGGGGTTAGACTCACGTGTCTGTAAAGCGCTCTGTGATCCTTGGCTAGAAGGCTCTGTAGAAGCAAGGATGAACTCTGTTTAGTTAATTATTCATCACCACCCAGGCAACTGGAAATGGGAACATACAAACTCTTTACCTTGTTTGGCTTCTTTTCTTTTATAGTATATTACAAAGAAAACCACTGACAAAAGCAGGAAGGCCACTAAAACCAGTGGTATCAACAGCATTAAATAGAACTCCAGCTGATTCGCACCCTCATCGCTGTTGGTAGAATTCATTCTCTGAAGGGCCAGGTCAGTGGTCTTTGTAGCAACCGTGCTGGGGGAAGTCATTCCTTCATCTACAGGCGCATATCCTGAATGCTCTGTGTCCTCCAAGGGACCTGCAGGAACACACACACACAATTGAGATTGCCATGGAGACCAAGCTAGTATGTTAGGTGCCCAGTGATCTTTACATTTATCCTGCGTGCACCCACTGCTAAACTCCATCTGCCGTATTCTGTCTCCGGTTCAGCATGACCCGGAGCACTGATTGAACATAAATGGAGCTCAAGCTGGGAGCATATCGAACACGGTATCAGAGTCCCGAGATGAACCTCCCACCACAGACGTTTCTGCCTTGACTGGCTGGGTGCCTGCATCAAAGGGGAATGGAGAAGCCTTGCTATGTCGGGCAAGAGATTCTGCAGTGTCTCTTCAGGCATATCATCATATTTTCAGTGTATTTCCCAAGCAATCGAGATTCACATTTACGACAAGTTAAGTACTTGCCACATAACTTATGCGTAAAGGAAGGCACTGTAGTCTCATTTTTAAGAAAAATTACCTAGCATGGAAAAGAATGCTTTGAAAATTGGGGCAAATGCTTCAAGTTCAATGGCAGGTCTCAAGGCTCCTTCAAGAACAGAATCTGGCAGAAACCTGTGTGGATGCTAAATAAAAACACAGTGTGCATTTCATTTGTAAAGTGAAATTCCCAAAGGAAGTTCCCTGAGGACGCAAGGAAACCACATCTTCAGTGAGTGGGAGCACGGGACGGGTCTGTGTGAGGCTGCAGGTTGGATCCTTGGCAGCAACCCTGGCATCCCTTTAGATGTGGGCCCAAGAAAAATAATAGCAACAAAAATGTAAATTTATGTGATGAGAGGCATTATTAGAACTTTTCTATAAACAAGCAAGTCAAGCCATTCATTACGGAACTCTGACTTCAGAAATCCATCAGAAAACCATCCAGTGGTTTATTGCATGCAGGACAGGAAAGGGGTATCAGCATGACTGTTTGGGGAAAAAAATATTCATTATCTATGAATGATCAAGGTAAGTTGAAGGGTTTTGTCTTTTTTTTTTTTTTGGTGGGGGGTATTTGTGAGGGGAGCATACCCAGCTGTATTCAGGGCCTACTTCTTGCTCTGTGCTTAGGGTTCACTCCTGGTAGAACTCAGGAGGGCAGGGCTCGAACCCAGGTCTGCCGCATGCAAGGTAAGAGCCCCGCTAGCGGTTCTATTACTCCACCCCTGAAAGTTGTTATCTTATCATGGCGTTGCCTGTTGTTCAGATGGGCCCACCACAAACAGCCTGTGTTAGTCTTTAGAAAAAGACTATCAAATGATCAATTGATCACATGTGAATGATCAAATGATCATTTGATCATTTGATCACATGTGAAAGTGCTTTCTAAGGGGAAAAGTGTTAATGGAGGACTTGGATACTTTGGCAGGGTAAGAGACTAGAGGGGCAAACCATACCTGGTCGGGGTTGAAGACGCTACTCCCCTGCAGTTCTGGATATTGAACTGGGATCTTGCATGTGAGGCACTGACAGCAGCCTTCTGAGCCATGTCCCCACCCCCAGAGTCAGCTACCTTAAATCACAGTCTTTGCAACAGATGGGCCAAGGCATCACAGAACTGCCAAACTGGCAACTGCAGAGCCAATTTAATACCTGATTATCACCGTGACCTTCCAGCAAAGAATCCCTTCCATTTGATTTATAAGAATATTTGTTAGATATCACAGTCTCATTTCTGGGTTATCTAGATAAACATTTCCATTTCCTCTAAGAGAGGGAATCTGCTTGATAATCACTCTGGCAAATGCCTCCCCAAACTATTGGAATCAATTACAAACTGCAGAGTGTCATTAACTGCTATTCTTCACACAGCAAGGCTTCAAAAATAATTTACCGTGTATTGGCCTCTGCCTTCTGGATTAAGTGACTCTGTCCTATATTTATGTCTTTCAAATAAGATGCTTTCAGGACTGAAGCGATAGTACAGTGGGTAGGGCTCCTGCTTTGCATATGGCCCACCTGGGTTTGATCTCTGGCATCCCATAGGGTCCCCTGAGCCCTGCCAGGAGTGATTCCTGGTTGCAGTCAGGAATACACCCTAAGCACAGTTGAGTGTGACCCAAAATAAAAAATAAGATGCTTTTGAGCTGGGAAGATAGCTCAAAGGGCTAGAGTTCAGGCTTTGCACGTGTGATGCTGGAGTTCCATCCCTAGGACTCATGGTTCCCCAACCTCTGCCAGCAGCAACCTAGGAACAACATACTGGGAGTAGCCCCTGAGTACTGCAGGGGATGGCACAAAACCAAAACAAATGAAAAATGAAATAAATACAAGGTGTTTCAATAATGTTTCACACATGTTGGAAAGCTCTGCTGGGTCATATATCACCCTGGGCCAGGACAAGCTATTTACCTTCCAAGACAACCTCCTCATTCAAATGAACCAACTTTCAGAATGTTGGAACCAACAACAGTCTTCCTGAGGACCCAGGCCAGCCCTCGCGTATCTGCGTGTAGGACAGTGCTGTAAAGTGAAGGGTGTTGGGGACCGGCACTCAGGGGCAGTTGGCCGCAATGCTCCTCCACCGTGAGCTCATGGTAGAAGGGCCTTTCTCAAATACCCACACTTCCCCGTTCACATCTATTACAGCAGCTGCTACTCTGCTTCAAAGGAAACTTTAGAGACAATTTCCTAACAGCCGTCACTCTGCCTTCCCCGCCAGATTATTTATTTTTCAGATCAGAAGTGGGCCAAAAGGATGCCTCAACTTTGCTGGTGATCGCAGAGCCGTCTCATAGGAGGAAAATTTGAACCAGGGAGCAGAGCTTATGCTCAGATTCGAGCATTGAACATCCTTCTCTAGATGCAGGAAGGGATGGAGCCCCAGGGGGGGACTTTCCTGCACAGAGGGCAAGGGAAGAGGCTGAGGGAAAACTGGGAACTCTGGCTGATTGCCTAGATCCAGGGGTCCTTTAGCAACTCCCCAGGGAAGTCAAGGATGGTCCCAGGGGAGCACTTAATGCTGAGCCCACCCTCACCCCATATCCCATTGCCTGGGGGAAGAAAAAGGAGGAAAAGAAATCAGCTCCAACAAGAATGGGGGCTTGGACACTCAGAAGGGACAGATTCAGAAGGTAGCTGAGCTCAGGATTCTGTGTGTACCTGTGTGGTTTCCATGTATTTTTCAGCAGGGGAAACAATCTCTGATCCAGGGGCCACTGGTGGCATTTTTGGGTAAAAAGAGCAGAAATTGCTTCACATTATCTTTCTCACCCGCACTCTATATTTTTCATGCTAAGCGTCATTTGTCTCATAGCTGGTGACTAATTGAAAGAGAAACAACGGTTCTCTGTGCGTTTCACTTTCCTCTACCTGACAACCCTTCACTGCCAGATTGAGACAAGTGTCTTGTGACAACGCCTTGCTGACCTTCCAGGCTTCACCAGTGCCTACGAGCCTCCACGTCACTCAGATCCATAAATCTGACCACAGTTAGTGACTGAAGCTTAGTGGGTAAGAGGTAATTGAAGAAACACCTATTGTCCAGTTTAATCTTCTTGACTTTATTGTTAGCGTTTCACAGATGGAGAAATGAGTCCCTGATGTCTGCCCTGAGGCTCAGCCCTGTTCTTTATGGACATGTTCTGCTAACAGAGGGTCTGGACATGTGTTCACTTGAATATAGGGAGCAGGGACAGTGAGGTGCTTAGTAATTGTAGGAAAGTCAAACAAAATACCCCTAACGCTTAAACTAATGTGTACAACCCAGGAGTCCCCAAGGTCCCTGCTAACGTGTTTTTAATGAGAATTTTTGAGTAGATTTTCTACGCATGTACTGAACTCAGGAAGGATATTGACTGAAACTCTTCCCTTCCCCCACCTCAGTGCCCCCACAAAGGTAACTGTTCTTTTTCAGCCTTTCAGAGAAATTCTGCATATATACCAGTGACTCTTACTTCCTGCTCTCGTTTTCTAGTACAAATGGCAGCAAAATTTAGAGACGGTTCTTCCCCTTGTTTTTGACCCTTCACATTGGATTTGAGGGGGATGGTTACTTGTGTGGAGGGTGCAGATGGTCCCCAGGGCTGCTTTTTCTTGGGTGAGTACTGGTTATTTTTATTGATGGAGATCTAGGCTGCTGCCTGTGTGTTTTTTACATTGCTGCAGCGAGCACCCTTGGTTGCTTCAGTTTACCAGGGGTCTGCACAAGTGGGTTTCAAGAGCCGGGAGAGCAGAGACTGTGGCCACAAAGGAGCGAACCAGCGCCCAGCGCCCCCTAGTGGTCTGACGGCAGGCTCCTCGGAAACTGCCCAGGGAAGGGCAGCCAAGCAGAGGAAGAGGGAGAGGATAGTGTTAGCCCCCAGAGTGGTACCAGGAATCTTAGATGGCAACAAAAGGAGAGCTGGAGGCGCAGCACGTTGCTCTGGGACCACGCAGTGGTCAATACTGGGCTTTTGAGGATCAGCAGCGAGGCAGGAAGAAACGGAGGAGTGGACAAAAGCAGGGGGAAGAGAGACTATCTGGGGGCTACTCTGCAGAGGGCAACTGGAAGGACACCCCCCCCCACCATGACGGAGGCTCCTCCTAGGAAACCGGGGCCACTTACACTCTGACCCCAGCGGATATAGAGCCCCACCAGCCTCCCCTAAGGGCCCCTTACAAAGGGGACTTCCTGTCCCAGTCATGTCATGCTTTGAGGGGTCTGAGCAAACCACCTGGCAGATTGAGTCCCACCCAGAAGCACCCCCAACATCATTCTTTCAGGAAATGAGCCTAGTATGTGCATCCCCAAGCAACCTACAGGTGCTCGGCTGCTTCTGCTTTGGGGACAAGACTAGGCACAGTGGAAGAAGGGTTTGGGTTGCAGGACTACAGAGCATTTCCCTGCCCCTCCTCTCCTCATGACCGGAGCTCCCCAGAGCACACAGAGCCTAGGAGAGCACAGTGAGGCACTGTGTAACCCCTCTTGAGCCCACCAGGGGAGGTGTTGGAAGGTCAGTGGCTTTCTTTGTGCCCATCCACTCTCTGTTTTGTTCCCCCCACATCACCGAACTCTCTCTCTGTCTCCACCCCTCCCCCCCCCACACACCCATATCCCCAGTCTCTAGACTTGGCTGTTTATTTGCTGGGCACCAAGAAACTCATTTTCTCTTTTTATTGGATGGTTGTATTGTTCCATCAAACATGGATACCTTTCCCCCAAAGAAGGATGTAAGTGTAAAACCTATGAAGCTGCAAGAAGAGAGAGAAAAGGTCAGAGGAGGAAGAAGGACCGGGCAGTCCAGCGTGCGGAGGGCAGGAGTCTTGCTCCCTCCCCAAGGGCCCAGGTGCACGCCCACAGACACGGGAGCATTCATACGCCATAGTGCAGGTGCTCACTGACTGCTGAGGTCTGCAATCCTTCACGTTTTTTCTGGGGGGTGGAGGGAAGTGATCACACCTGGCTGTGCTCAAGACTGACTTCTGCTCTGGTCTCTGAGCATCTGGGCTCTGAGATCACTCTTGGTGGGACTAGAGAGATTAAACTCAGGTCAGCCTCATACAAGGCAAGTGTCTTAACCCTGGGCTGTCTCTAGGACCCTGCTCTCCTTCACTTTTAACACCATGATCCTCAATCACAGATAATCAACTGCACAGACATGCACAAATGCTTGTTGACAAACAAACACAAACACATCTGGGACTCCTAGTTCACACATCTGGAAGAGCTAGTGGCGGGGAACCCTGTGAGACAGGCAAGTGGGGAGATGTTGGAGGGAACCCCACGGCTCCAACAGCAGATCAGGCGTGACGTCCACCACAGAGCAGTTCCAAGCACCCTCACTAAGTGGAAATGACTCAGCACTGTGGGGCAGTGACTTAGCCAACTTCTCTGTCCACAAAATTGGAGCCACTTACAAGCAAGCACTCAGCTTTAAAGTTAAAACAAAGGTGTTAAATGCCAACTGAAACATCACTATATTATATCTCACAGGATACACAAAATAAATCATGAGTGCATGTCATGGAACTCAGAATATCATGAAGCGAGGGGACCCCAATCATTCCCCATCCTTTCACTGACTGTGTAGACACCACACACCACTTAGGGGTTGGTGGTTAAAAGATTGAAATAAAATGCAATTTGAGGGGTGGATACCCAAACTCTCTGGAGTAACGGGCTATGTGAATCTCAGGAAGCTCAAAAACACAAACTCAAGAAGTCAGCCTGTTTGTTATTCTCCCTACTCTTGAGTACAAAGCAAACAGGTTAATGTTAAATTGACCTAGAAAAACAAGATGAAACTGAATTGAATTATGAGCATTTAAGTCTTTGATTTACAAGTCAAGGAACACAAATGCAGGCATTACCTCCAATTAGACTACTCCTTATGAGAAAAAAAGGTGGAGCAAGAAAAATAGATCTGACTAAAAACTAGGAGTGGCTATCTGTTCCTTAGAAGTCAATCACTTTTGGTCAAGTTGATCTTATGTATAAGGAGAGGGGGGGGAAAAAGCAGTTCTCTGAGAAGCCATGGCTAGCTGGAAAAGAGTTCATGCAGGTCAGTAAAGCCATTTGTTCTTTTCTTCCCACTGTATTTAAACACCATGGTTGACAAAGTTGTTCATGATGTATTGGTTACAGGCTTTCAATAACCCAACACTATTCCCCTCATACCAATGTGATCTTCAGTTGTGCCACACCCATGTTCCACAACCTCTTGTTTGATTTTAATAAAAAATTCAAAAAGGTGGCGTCTTTTTAAAAAAAAATTTTTTAATTTTATTTTTGCTTTTTCCGGTTGCACCTGGAGATGCTCAAGGGTTACTCCTGACTCTGCACTCAGGAATTATTCTTGGCAGTGCTTGGGGCACCATATGGGATGCTGGGAATCGAACCTGGGTTAGCTGCGTGGAAAGCAAATGCCTTACCCTCTGTACTATTGCTCCAGCCCCAAAGGTGTTGTCTTGAGCCCTAGTTGAAGTCATTCCAGTAAGCCCGAAAATCCCTTTTCACAGTTAGAAGATAAAAACAAACCAAGAAGTTTTCCAGTGGTTCTCAGCCTGACTTCATGAAACTCACCTAGAATCCTTTGAACGTTCCAGAGGTCGAGACTGCACCTCAAACATCAAGCCGGCTGAGGCCAAACTGGGCCTCATCATGTTTGGCGGCTCTGCAGGTGACTGCAGAGTGCAGCCAAGGTGAGAAACCCTGGCTGGACCTGACACACATCTGGTTCTGACTAGACTCACCCCCCCACCCCCGCCATCTCTCCCGCTCATGGTTCATTTGAGAATCAGAGCCAAAGGAGATAGATGTTGAGCAACTGCTAACTCTGTTGCCAGGACAACGAACCCTTAATGAAGGCTGAACGCTTGACAGCCTCTGGGTTAGATGTATAGAGAGACACTGTGGGTCCGGGGGACACTGAGTAAGACTAAAGGACAGGGAGAGTCTGGCATGTCAGAGCCGTTTCTCCAGCCAAGGCCACTGCTTCGAGATTGCAGCCTGCGGCTCCCAGCCCTTCACGTGCACTGCACTCACCTGGGAAGCTTTGTGTGCACAAATTACCAGGCACTGTTCCCAGTGAGCGAGTCTTGACTGAGCCAGTCTGGGATGAGGCTCAAGAATGTTCACTTTTGACAAACTGTTGATGCTGCTGGTTTGCAACCAGAGCTCATATCTGTGGGATGAGCCCAAACACCTCTTGGGGTTGTGTTCAATGGTACCTCGCACCTATTGTTCTCAGTGCTCACTGTGTCCCACCCGTCTGGGGATGGTTAGGGTCCATCCGAATGAGTTCCTTGAGGGTATCCAAGCAAGGATCTATTTTCAAAGCTCTGGGTTGAGACTTCCTAACCCGTTGACATGACTAGCTGTATTCAGGAAGAGTTTGTACTGGCTTCAAGGTGGATAGGAAAAACCTCAGGCAGAAAGAAGGCATGAGGACTTTCTGGTTCCACGGATTGAAACCGGGGTCTCACACATGCAAAACAAGCGCCATGGAGATACATCCACTCTTCTCTGATAATCAAAAAAACAAGACCCAGTTGTTCAGTATCTGTGGGATCAGGCTGGGACGAGCTACACCATGGGTCAGTGGGATGCCAGCCTGAAAGGCCCCGATAGAGCTCGGCAACGTTCTTCCTCTTTTCAGCAGGCTTCGGAAGCAGCATGAACACACTATTGATTGTGTCTTTCCACTCACACATTTCATTAATGCCTGCATGTGCCACTATTTGCTCTGTAACTCCAGTACGCGGCCCCCATCTACAGCCCAGAAGCCACTGATAAATAGTTTTAGGCAAGGTAAGCAGACCAGAATGTGAGGCCGAGAAAGAATCCCACACGCGCCATGACAGGCTGCACTTCAGCAAACCAAGCAGAAGACCTAAGTTTCTGTCTCCCCCAAAAGCAATTTCCTGAGACTGTCCCTGACCAGACCTAGAAATCCCCTAGACACCTCTAGCCAGTCCTATGATAAGTAGGATATCTCTGGGCACAGAAGTGGGGCATGACCAATTAGCTCACAGACTTGGGACTGCTTCTTGTGACTGCTTCATCAAAATTCTTGGGAAAATTGCCAATTTTGCTTAGGGAACAATATGCCATATAATGTTCCCGGGAACATGGGTCAGGGTCCTGGTCGAGACTCCACTGCATTGGATGAGACTCGGACCCTAGCTCGAGCTAGCAATAGAGAGTGTCTTGCATTTGCATCCTGGCCAATGTGTGAGCAAAACTCCCTTCCTGAAAGAACAAGAGTAGTGTGAAGTCCAGTGCCAGTCCACCTCTCACCTTTCCCCGGGAATCTGACCCCCCTCATCCCTCCCTCAACTCCCTTCAAATACAGTCTCAGTCTAAGGGGAAAAAAAGAGCTTTAAGTTGGTTTTCTCTAAAAAGCTATTTGAATTGATCTGACAGCATGGGGGAATCTAGAGGTATTGTCGGACACAAATTTTCCAGTCCCCAAAGAGGAAATTTGCCGTTTCTAGTTTTTTCAAGTTTGTTTTTAGCAGTGGGGGAGTGGGGGGACAACCTGCTTCTCGTCGGAGCACCACACAGGAGCACTCAGCAAGAAGCTGGAGGAAGGTACAAGGAGGAGCAGGGGCTGGTGGATGGTGGGGTTTCAGGGAGGGGGTAGGGTCATCAGCATTTCTTAATCATCTCTCCACAGGGATTTCACCATTTGAGGGTTGTTTTTGGCAGGGAGGGCCTGCCTGATGGTGCTCAGGGCCTACTCTTAGCACAGTGCTCATGAAACTATTCTGTGTCACCCAAATCCAATTTTTGGTCTCTGGATTTCAGATCCATTTTGTCCGGTGTATAATTTAGATTTTTTGTCACACAGTTCCCCCCACATGCTCAGCACTGCCTGGCCTTTCTACTAATGGGAAGCTCAGTCTGAAGCTTCACTCCCGAGCCCCGCGGAAGGTGGGTGGGTAGGGAAATTTTCTGTGCATTAAAGGCACCCTGCAGCCTTTTCTCTAAGAAAGTGATCTTTGCACAGAGTGAGCTTTGCTTTGCAAGTGGACCCACCGCAAGTTGGTACACATGAACTCCTGGCATGGAAAAGCCAGTAAGAACAGGCCAAGGGGAACGACTGTTAAGAAAGAACACGAATACACAAATAGCTACATGGGAGGTTCATGGGTGCCCCAATGTGTGTGACTGGAGCACTGTGGGGACACCAAGGAAAGACAGGTGGCACACGGTCATATTTCACTTTCCGTTCCTTTCTCAGCCCATTGCAATTGGGGTCTGTATCAGGCATAGTGGCACACAATGAAGTGACCCTTGCATGCCATAGTGGCAATGGAGACCCAGCACACAGCCGGGCAGATGCCCCTGCTGAGCTGAGCATGTCGAAGAAGCCACATCACAGGGTGTATGAGGGGCATGCCCAGGCTACATGGCAGAACAACTCAGGGTCCTGCTTCTAAGGGGCCTTGTCATGGTGCTGAGGCGTCTGGAATCTAGCCCCAGGCAGATGGAGTGGGGTAGGTGAACCCTATCCTCAAGTCACAAGAATAAGAGGAGAATTCGTTTTTTGGTTTTGTTTGGGGACACCCTCCAGAGGAGAATTCGTTTTTTGGTTTTGTTTGGGGACACCCTCCAGTGGTGTTCAGGGCCAATTCCTGACTTTGTGCTTAGGAATCACTCCTGGCAGTGCTCAGGAGACCATATATGGTTCCAGGGAGGGAACCTGGGTTATTCTCATGCAAGGCAAACATCTTACCCACTAGACTATCTCCCCAGTCCCAGGACGAAAATGATTTGTATTGCATTTTTGTTACAGAGTGAGCACTATCTAGAGGCTATATGGAAACGGGCTGGAAGTAAATGGGAAGAAGGTAGGAAAGGAACAGAGGAAGGTAGTGAGGGAACTCAGGTAAGAGCTAGCCAGAGCCTGAAATAGTCTTGGACATGTTGAACCTCTGGGATGTCGCCAAACCTGTGACAAGTCAGATGGAAGGCTGGCCAAAGAGGTCTTGTTAGAAGTGGTGTTTGGGGAACCATCAGATTAGGAGGGAGAAGAAATTCACTGTGAGCTGGGAATGATAAACGAAGGGAGAAGTGGAAAGATGGATGTTAGTGTGAAATGGCCAGGGGGAAGACCAAGATTCATGCCCCAGCGAGGAGACTAAGCAGAAAAAGGCATCGGAAGACACTGGGAAGGGAATTTCTGCAACTGATTACACTAAGTGCTGCAGAAAACATGCTAAAATGAGGACAGAAATAGGCCTCTTGGGTTTGCTATTAAGTCCAGGAGACCCAGACAGAACAGAGAGTGCTGTGCCTGACACATCGCCAGGCTGCAGGGTGCTGAGGAATGAAGGGAGCGTGAGCAGATGAAGATGTGCAGACTTTATTGTGCTCTTAAGTTGGTGCTGGGGGTGGAGCCTGGGTCCCCGATGCGGGGCATGTGCGTGCCTGCTGAGCCCCATCCCCAGGCTTTGTCTTCCAGTGAGAAGAGGAGCTGGGAAGATGGCAGAGAGTGAGGGAAGATCGGGAGAGCTGGGAAACACCTCAGACTCCCTCATTGTTCCACCGTGAAAAGAGCAGAAAATAATGGAATACATCACCCGGTACACACTGCTCTCTTTCATTTTACCATACTGTCACTGTCACTGTCACTGAATAAGGGTTATTTGCCACCCCCAAACTTGTGTACTTTAAAAAGAATTTTCTAGAAATAAAAACAGATTTCTAGAAATGAGGCTTGTGGGAAATAAAATGCCCAACAGAAGGGTTAACAACAGGACAGACCAGGTGATGGCACTGAGCTCCTGCCCCTTCTCCCTACACCACATACGCACACACACACACACACACACACACACATGCACACACACTTCTGTACATACATACACACAGGCATACACATGCATGCATGAGCACACGCATGCGTGCACACACATGTACATACATGCACATGCATGCGCATACACATCTACACACATACACACAGGCATACACATGCATGCATGCACAAATACACACACAACACACTTGCACGCACTGTGGCGTTCTTGTTTTTCCACATTTTGCCAACACAAAAGAGACCAAGGCACGTAAATTGCAGGTTACAGTATTTCTTTGCAGAACTGAGCCCAGCCCAACCCAGATCCTGCCCTCTTAGGATTTTCTGGAATCCAGACTTTTAGACTCAGACTTTTAGACACATCCATCCGTCTTTACCTGCCTTTTCCCTTTCTTTTTGGTCCCCCAAAGATGTTTGGCCCTCAGGTCACCAGGCTGGACTTCTTTCCTCTCCCAGGTCACACCCCGAAGTCTCTTTCTTAATCAGGGGCCTCAACATTTCCTGCTTTGGGTGTCAGCTATGCTGATGCCCAGATTCTGTTACTCATGTCCACACCTCTCAGCCCCACCCTACCCCTCAGAGACGGAGTTTAACCCAGCTCTCACCCAGCCAGATGCCCTTTCCCTGATATCCAGCAGCCTTGAAGCCTCGCCTTTATTTCATGCCGTACACCTTCCACTGGGAAAGTACATATTTTCCTAAACCTGAAACTAGACAGTAGCATGGCCCAGCCTTGAATGGCCTCTCAGCATGGACTTTGAGGCTGGATCTCACTTAGATCTACACGTAGCTCTGTGACTTATGGTGAAGTCACTTAACCTTTCTGTGCAAGCTCTC